CCTGTTTCACGCTGGCCAAGGCAGTGTAGGAAGCACAGAGTGAATGAACTCAAACTCTTGGAGGAGGGATATTGTTAGAAGGGCTGCTCCCAGGAGGTGTCCTTCCTCTCCCATTAGTCAAAGGAAATACTGCAGCTAAATACAGCTATTACCTTTGTCTGCTTTTACCCTTCTTATGCACGAGCTGGAGGGAGGCCAAGATTCTGAAATATTTGACCAAAACAAGGGTATCAGAGATCAGCTGCAGGGATGTATATATTGCAGCCTCATATCCCCCTTCCGCTGTGAGCCACGCAGGGATTTCCTTCCACTGTGCCAGCCCTGCTGTTTTCAAACGGCGACATTGTCCAAGCTTTACCTTGGCTGAGAAAAACAACTTTCATCAGCAAAGCTGTATTTACTTGTTGCCTAAAGAGGATATCCTTCCAGTTCCATTATATATTGCTCACCTGCTATGGACTTTGCAAAAATTCCAGGCTCCTGTTCACTCAAGGGCTTACACACACTCTCAAGGCAAGAGATTCCGCTTTTATTTTGTGTGTTGGAAAATCAGCAATGAGACTCTTCAAAAAGATGAGTACAGAGACAAGGGAGTGAAGAGCACTCAGGATTTGTGCCATTCCACTGTTTCTTAGTTACAGTGATACATCTCCCACGCTTCTCTAGGTGACCCAGGCAGGAATAACTGAGAAATATAAAATTTGGTCAGCAGCCTCCTGTCACAGCTTCATCCATGCACAGGCTGCCCAGTATGTTACTGCTGAACCACCAGTGTATAATGGTTGAGCAGGCTTGGACCTCCTTGGCAGTGCCTTCCCTGTAGTGTATGTTGTGTTAGTACCTACTTCCACTTCCTAATGGAGTCCATCATCTCAGAAGGAACCTTCTCTAAAAGAACAAAACAGGGCAAAGGGATAAGTACATCAGTGCCACAAAACCAACAACAATTCACACAGCAGAAGCTTTCTTGGGTCTCAGCCAGTCTGTTTGCTGAAACACTGAGGTCTCAACCACATGTTGCATTCAGTCACTTCCTATGCTCAGGCTCCACGATATGATGGGAGTGTGTATGTTCACAAGGACGTCTCACACACCATAAGCCACAACATTCAATTCAAGTAGCCAGAGACACTGCAGGTTAACACAGATAGACAAAATTCCATAATTTAAAAAAACTAAACAACCCTTGAACAATTAGTGAATTAATAATTGGCTTGCCAGACATTATGCAGGAAGATTCGAGGGTCCTGAAACTTCTCCCTCTAAAAATTTAAAAGAATATGAAAAAAATACCAGAATTACCAGAATATTGTTTATTTTAAAAGGTCCCCAGTGAGGGTTGCCCTATTATTTTTTTGTAGGACAACAGCAAAGTTCTTTTCATACACAGCTAGCGCAGAGGATTTAGTGGGAAAGATCCTCATTTTTACATTTTAATAGCTTACCAGCCCAGGCACTAGCAGCCCTGGGGCTGATGGAATAAGCTATGCAGATGGAAACAATTATTTAGGAGGGGAAGGACTCCTGCATGCATGGAGAAACATCTCACTAAAACTGAAGCCTCCCACCAACACATTCCAGACTCTTGGAGTAATCTACTTTGGGGAATATGCTTTAAATTACATCAGCTTTTGTATTTCTTTCTCCAATTTTAATTGCAATCCCAAAACATACTCCCCTGCAAACTGACCCATCACTCTTACCAAACAGCAACAAATACCAGAAAATATTATGAACATCTGAACTTAAAACAGTTTAGAGACCCAACTTTTCAAGCAACAAGTTCTGACTTCAGACAAGCTTTTCACTACGCAACACACCTGGAAGAACTTACTCACAGATTAGCAGTGTTGTTGTGGATGACTTACACCTAAAGTCCATAGCATAAAATCATGAATAAATCACACGCACCATATTTGATATGTAGTATATCAAATTAAAATGCCTTATGGTTCAAAATTGTGTGTCTTAGAAAGGAGCAGAATTTCAGAAAGCACTATTTGATTAGAAATATCTAATTAAGGATAGCCCTTTCAAGCCAGCTACATAAAGAAATTTTTCTCCTGCAACATATTATATGAAACAAACTCCAGCAGGTTTCAATTAAGCCTCATTGCCATATGGATTTTGCATCTGCAGCAGGAAGGCTCAAACACCATGTCACAACTAAGATATTTTTATGTCTCCAACTGAAAGCACTTAAACTGCTTGGAATAGAAGCATGTGGGTCATAACATCCCCAATAAAACAAAGCTTTTGCTGAGCCTAAAAGACACATGAAGCTAGAATATACCATATTCTTGGTCACACATTGTAGTTACTAACTTTTAAAGGATATAAAAAGCTAAGTGTGTAGAGCATGTATACTTCAGTGCCCTCCTTACCCAGAAAAACAGAAGACCCCAGTGCAAGTCACACAGTGATTTTTAAGGAGATGCTAAAGGAGTAGGGCATCTTTTTCTCCCTGCAGACCCTGAAGGGCACTGCTCCCTGAGCAGTTTACATGTGCCAACACAAGCACATTTGAAGGGCTCCTCAGGTTACCACCTCAGCCAACCTCCTGCTTAAAGCAGGATCAAACACCAACTAGGCCAGGATTCTGAGGGCTTTGACCAGTTGGGTCTTATGAAGGGCTGAGGTGCCATCACCTCTGTGGGTCCCCATTTTAACACTCCCCTGTACTCCCATGGAGTGGTATTTTCCTCAAGGCAAGCTGGATACTCACCCACTTCAATATATAAAGCTTTGACAAGTAACAACCCTCTATCCAACTAATGAAAGATGCTATGAACTGGAAAACAACAGTTATGGGGTTTTCCCTTCACTATTAAAAACATTCTCAAAAAATACGTCTTGATTAACCCAAGAGCTCTACTGCTGCTGCTGTGCCCTCCTGGGGCACAACGGACCTTGAGCCAAACCGTCAGTGTTATTTTTCTTCACACAGTTTGGACCCAAGAACCCCAATTCCTCTTTACTGAAAACAGATGTCAGCCAAGTTAAATCATCCCATGACTCCTCCAGCAGAAGGATGTAAACAGCCACAGCTCACCCAGCTGTTACTCAGAGAGGCCCTGCTGACAAGTCAGGGATCCCAGCATGCTTCAAGACCTTCAAAATACTTTGACATACTGATTTGTGTTTATCACTTAAATCCATCAAAACACATTAGGTCACTTGAGTTTGCACTAGATTAGAGTTTGAGTCTTCTATCAACTTCCTTCAGGATTTTGAGCTCAGAGGAGAAAGAAACTATTATCTACGTTTTTATACATACAATGCTTCCCAACAGAGTCTTAATGGTTAATAAACCCCACCCCTGCACCATGCCTGCAAAGTAAGTGCTTTACAAATAAGAAGGGGGGGGGGAGGGGGGAAGAGAGATTTAGTGATGTGCAAAAGGTCATAAGACACCTATGTGTACCATACGCCTACCATGTGCAGCACACAGAAATGCAGGCTTCCACCTCCCAGGAGCCTTAACCTCAGCCAAAAGGAACTACCAAACTACAGCTCTCACTAATGCTGTGCTCCAAAGTGTTCAATTCAGGGTTTTGTATCCAACGTTTTCAGCTAAGAAAACTACCTACTTGCAACAGTATGGAAGGACCCTGGGGCAGAAGCTGTGGGATGTGTATGAGAAATGATGCTTTGCATCAGGTGAACAAGAGACCTTCAGGTGAATTAAATCCAAAACTATTTGCAATCATTGTAAACAACCACACTGGCAGGAGCTCTACTACAACATCTGAGGCTGTAAGCTCTCTTGCTGATGCCCAGGAAATAGCTTTTGCACGCACAGCAAAGGGAAATTAAAGCACGAACTCACTGATGTTATTCAAACACTTGCAGACTACAAAGGCAGCTGGGAGGTCATGCTACAGTCATGCTGTGACTCCAAATGCTCAGCAAAGATAGGCACAGGGAAAGGCATTACAGCCAGATTCAGGGAAAGGAAATTTTTTAACAAAGGTGGATCACAACACAGTCTCCAGGGTTCAAACAGAGACCCCTCAACTGTAGGTCTGCATCCATTCTCCAGGCCAGGTTCACACGTCACCAATCTCTTGCAAGAAGCACAGACCCGCAGCAGAGCCAAAATGTCCTTTCCATACAACTTCTAGCCAAATCCTCAAACAAAATTTTATTCTTAACAGCCAAATATTTATTTGTGCATTATTTCTCATAGCTCAGAGACAGGAAAACCAGGTAGAAATTACTAGTGCCATCAGCATAGCTGTGGTACTGGGCAGCTCACAGGAACCAGAAGCCCTCAAATTAAGTTCCTCAAGCAGGTTTTGCAAGCTGGCACCAACTTCCCTGCTATTACAGTGACACTACCAGTGACAGCCAGCTCAGCCAAGCTAAAGCTATTCCGAGTGTATTTACACTGACTAAAAACTACACAGAGCATATACTCTGCTACTCCTGGGCTTTAGAACATCGCCATGTAATTCAAGAAGCAATATTCTCCTAGACCTTTGGGTTATTTATTTACTCACCTTAGTTCATCTACTTCTTTGCAGTGATGATCCCACTATAACGTTTTTAATTTAAATTACGGCAACTGCCTCGAGATAACAAGGTGTCATTTTGAACTGAGTGTGTCCAACATACTCAAATAGCCTAAACAAGCGAAATCCAATAGAGATAGGAGGTATCCCCAGGGATTTAGCTGCAAGACTGGAGGCATCCCCAGTGATGCAGCTGCAAGATTAAGCCTTTCCTGCCAACACTTTTTTTAAGTGCACATAAACTAGGGAGAAAATGAAAAGAGAAAAACCTTGAGACTACCAGAAAACGTTCTCCTCGCTGGCTCAATGAGGACAGCCTTGAGGTGTCAGAAGGGGGACTAGAGCTGAGACAATAACCCCATTCCCCAGCAGGGCAGAAGCCAAATTCTGCAGGAAAAGCGACAACTCAGCACCTAAAGCGCTAGAAATCCCGCAGCTCCGGGGCACGGCCGGAGCCCCCCCAACATCCACCACGCACCAGCCTACCTGTAGGGGTCAGCGCTGCGGACAAGGGCGGCCGGAGAACTAGAGGAGGAGAGAGCAAGGGGCTCTCCCGACCTCAGTACCGCTGCCCTGGAGCCGCCCAGGGATGGGCGGGGAGCTCAGCAAAGGCGAGACCAAGCAAGGAGACCCTTCCCTTCCCTCCGCCCCGACCACTGGGAGGGCTCCGGGAGGGCGGGCCAGGGGCGGGCCCCACCCGGAGCCGCTGCCCGAACTCGCCCCGAGGCGCCTCCGCAACCAGGGGCATCTGCGCCCGGTCCCGCAGCATCCGCAGGGAGCACCCCCCTCGGCCGGCTCGGCGTTGGCAGAAGGGGCAGTAAATGGGGAAACCCCACGGGAGAAGATCCTCAAACCCCCTCCGGGAAGAGTGGGATGTCCTTGGCAAAAGGCTTTTCTTTTTGTGTGTATTTTTTGTTTGTTGGTTGGTTGGTTTGGTTGGTTTGGTTGGTTTTTTTTGGGAGGGGTTGGGGTTTTTTGGGGTTTGTTTTGGTTTTTTTTTTTCCAAATAAAGGAGCTGCGAAAATAAAGATGTGGGCAAACAGTTTTTATTTAAGAGCATACAGCTTTGGGCAAACATTTGGACACTTCAGGGGATGGGGAGGGAAAGGCAAATACGGACAGGAGAGGTTTCATGGTTACTAGGGGCTGGTGTTACACAGCGTTCCCATGCAAGGCTCTGCAGGCACATGGCCTGCACGTGGGGAGCAGAGACAAACGTTTTTCACAATTGGCTCTGTGCTCTTTGGGATGTGACTTCCTGATTCAGGTCCTTTTTAAATAAAAAAAAAAATAGTGTGTTGAATGTGTGCATCGATGCCAGGAGCACACAGCTGTTCTGATCACAGCCCAACACCTGGATAAACCTTTAGGCCACAAAATGATGGCTCGTCACAGTCCTACCACCCTCCTTGTGGCTCCAACAACTGGTGAAATCAAGCTGCTGGTGAGTGCCTCTTTAGGCTGTAATCTAACCTTCCATCAGCCTGCCAGCTGTGCCAAAAAGCAGAGCCTGCATGGAAATGAGGGACATGCATGCTCGGGATCTGCTGAGGGCTTAATTATTTCTTATTAATTGGAGGTAGGCTTGCTTAATTTATTAGACCTGAGTCTTGAAAAGTTGTTTCCTACTTTGCAAACTGACAAGTTGAAGATCAGAAGAGTGCTAATTGGACTATAAGTATAATAATCCTTGGGCTGTACTGCATTTAAGTCCCAGTAAGAGCCACTACAGAGAAAGATTGCCTTGATCTTTTTTGTTTGAAACCAAAGATTAGTAGTGTGAGCAGAGAGTATCACTGGTGCAGTTCTTGGTCCTTAAAAAAAGGGACTCATTCCTTTGAAGTGGAAGGGGAGCAGAATACATATCCAGATGGTGGACAAGAAACTGGCTGCTGTCATTTATTTCATATTTAGCCTCTTAGTACTCTGAAAGTAGTTGTTGTGACCTCAGTGAGTGCTGACTTAGTCTTGAGTGGGTTTCCTTCTCAGAGAATTCCTCTCCCTCTGTCATGCTGCAGTTGCTCTCACTGACGCCAAGCAGGATGGATGCTAAAAACCATGAGACCATCTGCTTTATTTTTACCCTCTGGTGGTTCTCTGAGCTTTGCTCAGCTCCAGTTTCCTCCCCAAGACTGAAGCCAACAGTCCTCTGCTCTCCAGCCTCAGGGAGTCCAGGATTTTCACAGCTTTTTCATACAGCAAAGCAAACAGCTGAGCCATGTAGGTAATCAGATAGGATGGCAGCAGTAGAATCCTCAGGACATTAAAGATCTGGAGCAACAGGCAGACAAAGTTCCAGGTGAGAGAAGAAAACATGGTGCACAACAGCTGATGAAGAAAAGGAAGAACTGAATTATTATGGCAATGATGTTTTCAGAAGAGGTTCTATTTTCAGTGGAATAGACATAATTTTGAAATCACAAGTGCTTGTTCCCTTCCCTCATCCACCCTGCACAACCTGCAAGCCTTTTAGCATGGTATTATGCCCCACAAGAGACCAGTTCAAGCTGCTGTGTTCAAGTCAATGCTTGTACATGTGAAGAGCTCTAGGAGAATCAAATGGTACCTTAGACAAGTCCAAGCTCATTCTTAGCATTGTTAGCCTTTGAAAAATTAACTAAAAGGAAATTAAAAAAAAATCGTTACTACACTGACTTGGTACGGCCTTGGTGGTGTTAATAATGTTAAAAATGCTTTCACTTAGGGTGTTGTTGATTCCATGCTAAAGCTCAGCATCAGGGTGTGTTAGTCAAACAACTGCAGCAGTTTAAGGTGATTCCAGTCCTTAGCTAATCTAGCCTAAGCAAGGTTACCACTCCAGCAAAACTAGTGGAAGGAAACACGAGTGAGTACCTCAGTTGCTGCAATTCAAAAATCCCGGCAATGTAACTGAACAGACAGGACTGTGTATAGTGAGCGTGGAGCCACAGAGCAGCTTTCCCTTGTGAGCCCCTTCTACAAAGGAACAGACAGTCAGGGCACAGGGAAAGAGAAGACACACAAGACATCAAGCTCCTCCACTGTGTCAAATATATCTTTTGGGATTTGTGTAAAGCCTAAGAAGATTTGGACTGTTGTGTTTGCAAAGAGATTTCTCACTTCAGCTCTTATTGAGCAAGTGAAATACATCCTATTTTTAGTCACATACTCCACTGTGAGAAATCTGAAGCAGCTTTTAAAAATACATAATATCAGCCATAAATACCACAAGAGTTTCTACGCACATTTGAGCTAAACTTCTTATCTTAGAGAAATAAGTAGCATTTTTTTGCTGTTTTAAATGCAGTTCTCAAGGACTTTTAAACTGTGCATACATACCTTGAAATAGATATACACGCACATATTCATGATAGTAATTCTGCACAATTTTGTGTTACCTTTACCTTGTCTCCATCAGGAGCCACTCCAAGTGGGGAAGACAGAATATAGAACCTCCTGTTAGTCATTAAGCAGACATAAACCAATCTTGCAGCTTTTTCTTACCCAAGAGACCGAGGAGTCAGGC